CCCACCTCCTGTGGGGACCAATCATAGGACAGGTGCTGCCGTTCTATAGCAAAACTGTTTGAAATTAACATTCCAAGAACATTAATGAGGATGACATTTTAACATTTGCTGCAACAGGGTATTAAGAGATTATTAGAATAATTATTTGAAAGTTTTTTTTATAACATATTGAAGTTTTTACCATAATTGTAAAAGAATATAATTTCAGAAAGTGAAATATTGTAAGAGCCAAAATTTGACAAACCATGTTTATGAATTTTCCCCTCCACCGTGTTTTCTTAAAATTAGTTTTACCATAATTGTTGTTAATGTTATTAAAATATATGTTGGTTGAAATAATATTACCGTATATCCCTTCACCAACAGCACTGGCAAAAGAAGAAAATATCATTTGTAAGTCAATATGAATATTACAACATTTCAATGTATAATTTTCTCTCAGAAAGGTATGAATATACTTTGGTAAAAAGATACACAAACTAATGAGATTTCTTCTTCTTATTATTTTTTTATTGAGTTATAAACTATTAAGTCAAACAAAACAAACCTGGAAAATACATAAAACTAAGTATATACCTAAGTGAGGCATATTTTGATTTTTCTTTTTTTATTGAGTGAATTAACTTATATTGTTTTAATAGTTTTTATAATGTCATAATGTTTTTTAAAAATGTATTTTCTCATGCAAAATTCCTTATGCCTAACCTTATTTATACTGTTATTACCTTACGTTGCAACAGCCATGTTGCAACATCCTTTTACCTCAAAGTTCTCATGAAAAGTGGTCTTCAGATGCATTGGACAACTAATTTGTGTTTGTGTGCTTGCTGATAATAAATATCTGGCCAACTGTCTCAGGGACTGACAGGGCAATATTCTTTAGAGGCTGTAGACGTCAGAGTTTTTGGACAGGGTTCAAACTCAAAGACAAAGAGACAAATTTAGACCTTTGGTTTTCAGACGGAGAGGAAAACGTGTATCACTTATAGAGTCAGAGATATATCAGGAAACACAGGATATGCAAGAAAAATGGAACAATAATGATGAGAGAGGGAGAAGCTTATAATGACTTCGTAAGAAGCTGAAATATGATCCTTTACTTTTCTGCTTAAAAATCTGTTTGTGCTCATTGGATAATCCACTAACCAAGCAGCCCAAATGATTTTAAATCCCAGAGATTACTTAAGACCAACATGCACATATGAGGTTCATGGTTGATGGTTATGTGAAGCAAATTTACTTTCTACACAGAGTAAGGAGGAAGGATCTGTCTCTCCACCACCGAGAGGCTGAATTGAGAATCAAAGTGCATTCTGAACAGGTTCCCTGTCAATCATAGGGCCAAATGATAACAGGGTTTTGACAAAAAAAAACATGGAGAAAGTGTGATATTGATATATATTCAGAGCCACTGATTCATTACTTTGTAGCTCAAAATTCTTTTCTTCTTACATTACAGACCCACATTGTAATGGGTAGTTAACAATTAAAATTAAGTTTCTTTAACTATTTAAACTTGTAAACTATTTATATTTAACTATTTATAGGATATATTTATTGTAAATTATTTATATTTAATTATTTATAGGATATATTTATTGTAAATTATTTATAGGATTGCAGATTGTTTGATTATATTTGTCTGTTTTGATTACCACTGTTTTGTATTGTGTTTTGTTTATTGTATTTGCATGTTGTAAAATTTCCTTTGTTATGTACCTCACGGGCTGCCGCAGCTTAATGAGGACAGGCCCTATAAAGGCCGCTGTATCAATGTATGCCGACAATAACCCTCAGAGCCGTGCTTGCATTGTGATTCTTAGCGTTCCCTGGTGAAAGCAGCGAGGTACGTTTTATTTTGTTTGTGTGTTGTAAGTTTATGTTTATATTCTAATATTTGTATTTGTTTAGTTTTCACGGTGACATTGATGACTGAGATGATCCGCATCAAAGAAAATAAACATTGAAAATCACCTGTCGAGACCGCTGAAATTTCATTCACTGCTGGGGAGCTGCTACAGTGAAAACTCGTAGCTTCTGTGCGTCTGGACATCCATTGACGGCGAGAATTCTGGATCTGACATCGGCCGAAGTTTGACGCAGCATCAGAGTCAACGCCTCCATGAGGAGTTGTCTTCGCGGTGGATCCAAGTTTGCTTCAGAAACTGAATCCAACAGATGATCGCTGGCTTGGTGAGAAATTGACTTATCAAACACGGAAACAACTTGAAGATGACGTCACCTGACTTTTATTGGCGTTTGTGAAATTACGCCGAATTATTTAAAAGGTAACTGGACTAATTAAGAGGAAGAAAAAAAAAAATAATAATAATAATAAAAAATAAAAATAAATGAAAAAAAAAAAAAAAAAAAATTTATGGGTTTAATTTCACTGTAAGGTTTAAGTCATTGTAAAGGGTTAAGATGTCACTGCCAAGTGTAAAAGGACTTTCTACTGAAGATGTGTGCTCTGATGTAAAGCCAAAAGGACAAGAGTTGGTTTCAGGTCCACGGACAAGAAAGTTAACTGGAAAGGGAGAGCAGTACAGAGAAGCAGAATCTGCAAAATGGATAAAGGCATTTCTTAAATCTTATGGATCCTGGAAGCAAATTGCCAGGGAAGCCAGGAGGAAATTAAAAGGTTTCTGCTCTCAGGAGAATCTGAATGAAATAAATCAGCAAGTCCAAAACAGTCTTGATAAAGTGAAACAAAATTATGAGTGTCTTCAACGTAATTCTTTAAATACTCCAGATATTGTGCAGAAACTAGATGCCTGTACTATATTAACAAATGAGATTTATGATCTTGTGTGTAAGCGTTTGGAAGGGAGTATTGTTGAAGAAAATTTTAATCAAGAAGTTGAAAAGGAAAGGGTGCGAGAAATCTTAAATAGAGATGAATATCAGTCTGTTTTTGGAGAAGCCTCTACTGAAAATTCTTCATGTGCATATGGTTCATCAACTACCAGTTCCAAAGTTTCTCAAGAGCGGGTAATTGCAGAAGCTGATCTTGCAGCCAAAAGGGTTCAAGTTAAATCCATGTTGGAGATTGAAGCTCAACATGCTAAAGTCAGTAAACTTGAATGTGAGTGGAAATGTCATGAGTCCCAGATTATGGCAGAAATGAAGCAGAAGGAGGCTGAAGTGCTGCAGCAACTTGATGAGGAAAAGAGCAAGTTAAAGGTAATGGAGACTGATATGGAAGTTAAAATGGCTGCAGCTCGGGTTGATGTTTACAGCAGACTTGAGGATGGTGTTGAAAGGGAAAATCTTGATTTTGAGCCTGAAGTTAAGTCAATGCAACCTTTAAAACACCCAAGAAAGTCGACTGCAAGGGCTGCAACTATTTTACCATCTCAAGTTTGCTCTGAGATTTCTGCAGTAAACTTGGCTGAAGCCTTAACGAGCTCGTTAAGTTTAAGTCGCCTCCCTGTTCCTATACCTGCCATATTCTCAGGTGACCCTTTGAAATTTGTGGACTTTAAGATATCATTTACAACTTTAATTGATTCAAAGGCCATCTCTGCTGGAGAAAAAATGTTGTATCTGAAAAGTTATCTCTCTGGAGAAGCCCGAAAGGCTGTAGAAGGTTTCTTTTACAGAAGTTCTGAAGATGCATATGAAGGTGCATGGGCAGTTCTTCAGGAGAGATATGGAAACTCGTTTGTAATTCAGAAAGCATTTAGGGATTAACTTAAGTCATGGCCTAAGATTGCACCAAATGATCCATCGTCTCTCAGAGATTTTGCAGACTTTTTGAAAAGTTGTGAAGAGGCGATGCCTCAAGTTAAAGGACTGTCTATCTTAAATGATTGTGAAGAGAATCATAAGATGTTGAAGAAATTACCAGATTGGGTTGTACGTAAATGGAGCAGAGTTGTTGTTGAAGTACTAGATGCATGTGGGGAATATCCATCTTTTGAATGTTTTTCTAGATTCATAAAAAAGGAAGCACGCATAGCATGTAATCCTATTGCTTCTCCATTTTTGTTAAAGTCTAGAACTTCTTCAAATGATCTTTCCAGAAAAGCAAAAGCTCTTAGTACCAGTACGGAGTTCAAGAAACAAGAAACTGTTCATGTTCTGAAATCTAAACTGCCTTGTTTGGTTTGTACAGACACGTCGCACAGTATTGCTAAATGCCCTAAATTTGCAGTTAAATCAATGGAAGACAAAATGTCATTTATACATCAGAACCATCTTTGTTTTGGATGCTTGAGAAAGGGCCATTTATCGAAAGATTGTAAAACACGCCATGTTTGTGGAGAGTGTAGACGGCATCATCCTACTTGTTTGCACCTGGAGAGAGTAAGATCTCAGGATGCTGCTCAGCAGTGTTCCATCTCTTCAGAAGAAACACCTCAGGTTTCTCGCAGTGTCTTGTCTCATGCACTCACCCGAAACATTTCTGCAACATCAAGTATTGTTCCAGTTTTTTTGTCCTCTGTGAAGGATCCTGGGAAGGAAATACTTACTTATGCACTCCTTGATACTCAGAGTGACTCCTCCTTTGTCCTAGAAGATCTTGTGAAAAACTTGACTGTTGAAACAAAACCAGTACAGTTAAAACTTAGTACTATGGTTTCTGTTGATGCACCTGTTTCAAGTGAAATTGTGTCTGACTTGCAGATTCGGAGCTTTTTCTCTGATAATTGTATAAGATTGGGGCAAGCATACACACGGGACTTCATTCCTGTTGATACATCTTGTATACCAAGTAGAAGTACAGCATTACAGTGGCCTCACCTTAAACATCTGGCTGGAAAAATGCCTGCTTTACAAGATTGTGAAGTAGGTTTACTAATTGGGTTTGACTGTCCTTCTGCCTTGGCTCCTTTGGAAGTTGTTGTTGGTGGGGAAAATGAACCCTTTGCTCAGAAAACTGCTCTGGGTTGGAGTATCATTGGGGCAGCTAATCCACATTTAGATCGGCAAGGTAACCAAAGATTTGTACACAGAGTGATGGTAAAAGAAATGCCAGCTCCATTAACCTCTGATGTTTTAAAGGCTCTGGAGATGGATTTTAATGAAAAGGGCCCAGAAGGAAAATGTGTTTCTCAAGATGACATTCGGTTTCTACAGCTTCTGAGTGAAAATATTACACAGAAAGATGATGGCCATTTGGAGATGCCCCTCCCGTTTAAAACACCTTGCCCTCCTATGTTGCCAAATAATAAGAAGCTGGCTACAATTCGTTTACAACATCTGAAGAGAAGGTTAAAGAGAAATTATCAGTTCTACAATCATTACAAAACATTTATGGAGTCCATCATTAGCTGTGGTGATGCTGAACTAGCTCCTGAGACAAATGCCAATGATTGTGTGTGGTACTTACCTCATCATGGGGTGTACCATTCAAAGAAGCCAGATAAGCTAAGAGTGGTGTTTGACTGCTCAGCTAAATTTTGTGGTACCTCTTTAAATGATACCTTGTTGACTGGTCCAGATTTGATAAACTCTTTAATTGGAATCCTGCTGCGCTTCAGAAAAGAAACTGTTGCTATCATTTGTGACATTGAAAGGATGTTCCACCAGTTTTTTGTTGCATCAAAGCATCGTTGTTACCTCAGGTTCTTATGGTGGGAGCAAGGAGATTTGGAGAGCGAGCCCAAAGAGTATCAAATGAAGGTTCACCTTTTTGGTGCTGCCTCCTCTCCAGGCTGTGCTAATTTTGGTTTGAAATATTTGGCACAACAGCACAAATCAAAGTTTCCAGCTGCAGCAGAATTTGTGGAAAATAATTTTTATGTTGATGATGGGTTAATAAGTGTCCCTACAGCTAGTGATGCCACCAAATTAATAACTGAAGCACAGAAACTGTGCAAAGAAGGTGGTTTGAGACTCCACAAATTTAATTCCAATAGATCTGAAGTCCTGGGCTGTGTGAATCCATCTGAGAGAGCCACTGTGGTTTCTGCTGATCTCAAGCCTGACTTGGCGCTTACCGAGCATGCCTTAGGTATGCGATGGCATGTCAAAACTGACTGCTTGGGTTTTCATATTGATCTAAGAGATAAACCTGATTCACGCCGTGGCATTTTGTCAGTAATAGCCTCTCTGTATGATCCATTGGGATTTATTTCACCATTCATTATGAATGGAAAATGCATTTTGCAAGATCTGTGCCGAAGAAGTATTGGGTGGGATGACACTTTGCCTGAGGACTTGCAAGTACGGTGGGAGAAGTGGAAGTTCAGCCTTCAGGATGTGGAAGGATTAATGATACAAAGATGTTATCATCCACAAGGATTTGGAAACATTGTTAAAACAGAACTACATCACTTCTCAGATGCTAGCAGCCTAGCATACGGTGCATGCTCCTATCTCAGGTTTGAGAATGACAAAGGTGAAATCCATTGTGTTTTGATCATGGCTAAAGCCAGAGTGGCTCCTTTGAAGATCACAACCATTCCTCGTCTCGAGCTTTCAGCTGCAGTGGTTGCTGCTAGGTTGAGTATGCTGTTAAAATCAGAGCTTGATATGAAGATAGATGCAGAGTTTTTCTGGACAGATTCACAAGTAGTGTTGTCATATATTAATAATGAAGCACGGCGGTTTCATGTATTTGTGGCAAATCGAGTCCAGATAATCAGAGAGAACACAAATCCAAATCAATGGAATCATGTTGACACCACTGAAAATCCTGCAGATCATGCGTCTAGAGGACTGTGTGCCTCTGAGATTTTAACCACCAACTGGCTAACGGGTCCTGAATTTTTGTGGAAAAGGGAGATAAAAAGGGAATTTAAATCCAGCCCTAATCTGTTAGTCGGTGACCCAGAGGTTAAAACTGTTCAGACATTTGCGACTACAACAGATGAGACTGCAGATTTTCTGGAACGTTTCACTAGATTTTCATCCTGGTCAACACTGATTAAAGTAATAGCCAGAATCAAAAGACTTGGACACAGAAACAAATGTTATTCAAATGTGGTGAGTGTTAAAGAACGTGAAGATGCTATGAAATCAGTAGTGAAACTTGTACAAAACCAGGCCTTTGGCTCAGAGATGAAGCTGTTAAAAGGAGGAAACATCCTTCCACGTTCCAGCCCTCTGTTCCATTTAAATCCATTTGTGGAAGATGGTTTGTTGCGGGTTGGTGGACGATTAAAACATTCATCTCTTAGTGAAGATTTTAAACATCCACTGATTTTGCCAAGAAACAGCCATATCACTCATCTTATTCTGTCCTACTGTCACACTCAGGTATGCCATCAAGGCAGAGGTCAAACCCAAATGCAGCTCAGAATAAAGGGGTTTTGGATTATTGGCTGCAGCAGGTTGGTGGCTCAGATGATTCATAAATGTGTGCAGTGCAGGAAGCTCAGACGACCAGAGGAAGAACAGCTTATGGCTGAGCTTCCAAAGCAACGCTTGGAGGCATCTGCACCATTTACCTACTGTGGAATGGACTGTTTTGGTCCTTTTGTTGTTAAAAGAAATCGCAAGGAATACAAGAGGTATGGGTTGGTGTTCACCTGCCTCTATTCGAGAGCTGTTCACATTGAAATGTTGGATGATTTGTCCACAGATTCCTTTCTTAATGGCCTGCGTTGTTTCATTAGTTTGAGAGGAGCTGTTAGCCAGATATATTGTGATCAAGGAAGAAATTTTGTTGGAGCCCAAAATGAGTTAAAACGGTGTGACCCTAAATATCTGGAGTCTTTTCTAGCAGAAAACCAATGTGAGTTTATTTTTAATGCTCCATCAGCAAGTCATGCTGGTGGTGTTTGGGAGCGTCAAATACGCACCATCCGAAATGTGTTGGCCTTTACACTCTCTCAAAATGTAGGAAAACTTGATGATGCTTCATTAAGAACTTTCCTTTATGAAGCCATGGCTATAATTAATAGTCGTCCTTTAACATTAAAGGGAATAAATGACCCAGCTTCTCTTGAACCTTTAACACCTAATCATCTGCTTCAAATGAAATCTGAGTCTGCCTTGCCTCCTGCAGGAACATTTGTGAGGGAAGATATTTATTCCTCAAAACGTTGGCGCCGGGTACAGTTTCTGGTCGAACAGTTTTGGAGTCGATGGAAGAGGGAATACCTCCAGAATATTTCCATTAGACAAAAGTGGCATGTAATTCGGCGCAATATAAAGGTAAATGATGTTGTAATAGTCAAAGAAGATTTTCTCCCAAGAAATAGGTGGCTATTGGGTCGTGTTGTGGAAACGATGGTTGATGGTGATGGTTTGGTTCGAAGAGTGAAGGTGAGAACAGGAGAACAGAGATCTGGAAGGGATATTATCTCAAAGAGCTCAGTAATAGAAAGACCGGTGCAAAAATTGGTAGTGTTATTAGAAAGTGACATTTAAACGTAATGTACACAGACGAATATGTTTAAATAATCTGCATGGTTTAAAATAATGCATGATTGTGGGGTAATAGTTCATGCATTATTGGTGGGAGTGTAATGGGTAGTTAACAATTAAAATTAAGTTTCTTTAACTATTTAAACTTGTAAACTATTTATATTTAACTATTTATAGGATATATTTATTGTAAATTATTTATATTTAATTATTTATAGGATATATTTATTGTAAATTATTTATAGGATTGCAGATTGTTTGATTATATTTGTCTGTTTTGATTACCACTGTTTTGTATTGTGTTTTGTTTATTGTATTTGCATGTTGTAAAATTTCCTTTGTTATGTACCTCACGGGCTGCCGCAGCTTAATGAGGACAGGCCCTATAAAGGCCGCTGTATCAATGTATGCCGACAATAACCCTCAGAGCCGTGCTTGCATTGTGATTCTTAGCGTTCCCTGGTGAAAGCAGCGAGGTACATTTTATTTTGTTTGTGTGTTGTAAGTTTATGTTTATATTCTAATATTTGTATTTGTTTAGTTTTCACGGTGACATTGATGACTGAGATGATCCGCATCAAAGAAAATAAACATTGAAAATCACCTGTCGAGACCGCTGAAATTTCATTCACTGCTGGGGAGCTGCTACACACATCTTTTTGTGCATTCCTCTAAAAACCTTAAATATCTACTTTGGTTCTGATTCCTTTTGTGCAAAATTGACAAGAACTACAGGAAGACAGAAGGAATTAAAGAAAATCTCCTACTAGGAAACACACTTATAAAACAGGTTTAAGATGAATGAAAAGAAAATTCTCATAATTTTTTTTAAGTCTTGTAAGAGGACTGCAAAAGAGTAGAATGGAAACCAAGCACATAATAAAACAATGTCATTTAAGATCATAGCTATTTGAAGGCAGATAAGTAAATGCTTCTTTCAAAAAAGTGTGAAGGAAACCGAGCAAAAATAATCAACAGCAACAACTGCAGCTATGTAATTATGCAAAGAAACTTCACATCACTTGTTTTACAGATTATTTGTACAAATGCCCACACCATATTTTTTTAACACAATGGTTAAACTGGACACCTAGTTTGCAGCGCAATGGAGCTGCACAGAGCCTCACTTACAGCCATATCAAAAGTAAACCTTCAGCGCAACTCTGCCGAGAAGCAAATAAGCCAAGTCCTTTCAGAGATGAGAGCATTCAAGAAACGATGCAAAGCAAAAATATTCTGCCACTGTTTACACTGTGCTTGAAACGGAAAATGCTGAACAGACTTGCAGGCTATTAATGAGAGACTCCGTTACCTCTCTTGTCATCTCAAAAGAGGCTTCAGCTGAGGTGGGTTGTCAAACAAATATAATCTTTTCTTGTCATTTATGAACCCATATAGATTTATTTCTTGTGTACTCTCTTTGGTTAAGCATTTTTTATTTTGTGCACATTGTGGTTCTACCAAAAACACCAAATCTACGCCAACATGAGGCAGCATGAACTCAAGTACATTATCCTAAGCAGCCCAATGAAAGTTCAACTTTGCCACAAAGTATAGTAAATATGTTTGCCAAAGCAAAAAAAGGAAATAAAACACATATCACTGAAAATCTACAACCATAAAACATGTTGTGATGTGTATTTAAAACTAGGGTTTGCCTTAAAGCATCTAAAGACAGTGAGAACTGGGGTTAAGGTTAGGTTAAGCCTCAAAAACAACTTGCAAGGTGAAAATTACACTAAATCTCAAGGCTGCAGCTTGACCAGAAAGGATCAAACTCTTAAGTTCAGAAGAACGCCTCCTTGGATCAGCTGGACTTAACCAACCACAGGCTAGGGCACACGAAGGGCATACTCTGACATTTTCAAAGAATGCTCTCTGTGGTCAGAATAAACAAATCAGATATTTGATCTGAAAAGTACACTGCTGCATATTTTCTGCTTGACAGGTGGTCCAAATTAAAAGGGAATGGTCGGGGAAAATAAGCACTGTCTACTAGTCCGATCGGTTCCACACATTTCAGGGAAAGGCCATAAATTTTAATGCATGCATCATTTTTTTCTGGTTCCTTTTGCCCCTAATGATCCATTATATGACGGTGAACCAGGAGTCTGGAGCTAAGTGGTCTCAGAAGCCTCTTCATGTGCATACCTCGACAGCAGCCCACCCCATCAACCCTCCCAGCACAGGATACAGGAGATTTGGATGCGCAGAGCAATGGTCAGGCCCTGATATTAAAGATGACTTAATCTAGAGGGGTTCCAACACTACAAAGCATCACAGATATCAGAGCTGAAGGAAAAATATTTAGAATGTCTTCTTAAATAAGTAAAACCAACATAGAAAACCAGACTGAAGAATACATGAAATGCATTCAGTTTCATTCAATGTATGTATTCAGCCCTATTACTCTCTTTTAAATTCACTATCTTTAAAAGCTATACGTAGGATTTAATCTAATGGTGCAAGAAAAGTAGACCATACATTTTATGCGGGAAATGGATAAATATCAGAAAAAAACAAAATCCTGGAATATATTAGCTTTAATTTACACATTTAAATTAGATTGCACAAAGATAAAAAATATTTTTTGTATTTTTGTAATTTTAATTAGCTCTATCTTTTGTCTTTTTACAATTCAGTTTGAATTTTATTTGTTCACAGGTCCTTCAAATAACTCTCTGGTGATATAGTTTGGGTTTCAGTGGTAACTTTATCAGAACTGATTAACTCTAGGAAAAGGGGCCTCAATAGGAAGATGGAAAGTCCAAAACAAACATTTTTTATTAATTCCTATGAACTTTTATCTGTGATATGTGTTGAAAATGACTACTTAACTATTATGAGGGTGGAGGTGCAAAAAAACTGGGTGATATACTTGATTCAACATATTAAACAGCTAACTGACAATCAAGGACTTATTTTGGACTTGGTCGTTGGTAAAGGTCTAAATATTTCTAATGTTTCGGTAAATGATGACGTTCTATAAGACTATTTTGTTTATTTTAAAACAATTTCCCCGATGATCTAATTACCAAAAGAAATGTTATAAGAAAGCATGTTATCATGGGCTGCAGAATAAAAAACTTTACCCAGCCTTACCCTTTTTTTCCACTTCACCATTTAACTCCGTAAATAAGCATGATGATAATTTCCATGCAAAAGTTGCAGACATAATTTATTCTTTATCTATTGTGATTTTATTGTGAAAGACAATAGAAAGGCAAATGGAGAAATGCTCCAGCAGTTTATTTTACAATAACAGACGCGGAGTTGCGGATCTGCAGCCTCTGCAGTCAGTGACAATAGGAAACAATTCAAATTTGCTATATAACTACAATAACTTCGGTTTCTAACTTTCAGACTTACCTTGAAATTGAAATGGGTGTGAAAAAGCATAAATTCTAATTGAAATCAAAACGAGTGAAAGAATTGTAGGATAAGAATGCGGAGTGAGCCAAGCTGTCTGCTGATGGCTGAAACACGGAGACTTGTGTGGAGATGGAAGGCTTGGCCAAGTCACGAATCTCTGCAGCATTGCTTGGATCAACAGGTGTCTCAGAGGATGGAATCCACGCTGGAGCGGGAGCAGGAGGGTCCGAAAGTCAGCTTTTGAGATGGATCGGGTCGTCTGAGTCAAAATCAGACATAGCGCAGCCAATGCTTGCGCTTTGGCTGAGTAGCAGTCTGGATTTGAAGACCTTTTAAGATGAACTCTGGATGCTGATGGGGCTTCATGGAGATGTGGTTCAAAGCTGATTGGTTTGCGTAGGAGGCAGATGAGCCTCTGATGGATGAGGGTAAGTAATTTAGGTTCTTCTGTAATGTATGCCATGGATGATTTTGCAGGAAAATCTCCCACTGATCTCCTTGACTTCCTTCATTAAAAAAATCTGAGTGAAAGCATGGGGCAGGTGTACACATGTTTATGTTTGGCGGGGACTATTCCTGTGTCCACTGCTTCTGTCAAGCGGACATTTTCAGGCCGAAAGTGAATTAAAACTTATGCCAGAAATATGACAGGGCAGGCTCGACTTTCAGCGTTAGCTTCAATGGCGATAGAAAAGGACTTCTTGATGGAACTGAAACACACAGATAATCTGTATGACAGAGTAATTGAAGACTTTTTGAGGAAAGAGAAGAGGATAGATTTTGTCTACAAATGATCCAAACTTTTGGAAAGTAAAATGTGTTTTTTTTCCTAAATAATATTGCAAGTTTATAAGGATATTATTGATGTTTTTTTGGGGGGTGGGGGTGTCGCAGCTGTACAGTGGGGACTGGTTGGAAATGGACGGTTTCCTGCGTGATTCCTGTGTGATTCCCACGTGAATCACGTTGTATTTCCTGAGGCCAGTTTTTTTATTTCAAAAAGAACTGCAACCAGGAGGCGCTTGGGACCTCTGCCGTGCTGAGGGTGACGTTTGTGGGCCTGCAGTCAACTGAAAAGCAGGTTTATTGGGGATCTTGGTGTGATACTGTGCTATTTTATTTTGTTTTTGATTAAAATAAAGTTAATGAATTAATTTAACATAAGATTATGCAGTCAAGTGACTGCATAATCTTATTTTATGAAAATGGTTGCGTAGTTATAGATACACCTCCGATCTTATCTGAGAACTGTTATTTCTATTTATCTGCATCGCTATTATTTAATGAAAAATAAAATTAATTAAGTTGGAGCCGGGGATACAGACTGTAGCGCAACCAGAGAAAGGCGACAGAGACAGTGCTGCGGCTGGTGATGTTGAAATTAAAATCATATCCAAAGTTGATTCCTCATTAAGATAAGCCAAAGTTATTCAAAAGGGTATGTAAGAAAATATATTTTCTTTAGTTTTGTAAAATATAAGTGCCGTTGAAAGCTTTGTTTTTGTGTGTTACTTTCTTGCCGTGCAATACGTGACACCCTGCTACTTGACCAGACTGGGAGGGCTGTCACGTGTTGCGAACTTATAGCGCAGTGGTTAAGCTTAGTGGTCTCCAGATCAACAGCTCGTGGGTTCAATCCCAACTGTGGCTGAGTTGCCATAAATGTGTTTTTTTTTTTTTTTTACAAAGCATCTTAATGCACCTTTTTCCTCCCTGTTTGCACCTCCAGTAACTTCTATGCCAATATGTGACGAGTGAATTTCTCCGCTGTGAGATCAATAAAGCTCATCTAATCACATCTACTCCAATCTAAATAAATAAATAAATATACACATGTTCAATAAATAAATAAGCATTCAATTAATTACCCCCAATAAATGGTGAAATGATATGTTCTCATAATAAATCATTTATTTAAAAAATGCTGTTATGTTCCTTTTTTTTTAATTCCTTTTAAAATGCTTAACTATTTTTATTCTTTTATTTTCTTTCAAAAAATCACTAGATAACCACAAAAAAAAAAAAAAAAAAAATCTGTAAATGAATTGTCTTGACAAATAAAAACATTTTGAAGATATAAAAACTGTAAAATAATAGGAAATAAAATATGACTAGAAAGGATTCACAAAAAACTGAATTTTAAGTATTAAAAAATTAAATATATAAATGTTAAAGTATTGCAATTGTTTCCAAATTAATTTTTCTTTGCACCAACCAAAGGGGAAAAAATAGAAAAAAAGCATCTGAATTTTCTTTTTTTCTTTTTTTTTTTTTTTT